TTCAGGTTCTGGAGCATCGAGACCTTCAGGTTCAGGTTCTGGAGCATCGAGACGTTCAGGTTCTGGAGCATCGAGACCTTCGGGTTCAGGTTCTGGAGCATCAAGACCTTCAGGTTCAGGTTCCGGAACATCGAGACCTTCAGGTTCAGGTTCTGGAGCATCGAGACCTTCGGGTTCAGGTTCTGGAGCATCGAGACCTTCAGGTTCAGGTTCTAGGTTCTCTGAGTGTGGGTTTTGAGATTCTGAAAATACAGTTCTCACATTTCCATGCTTTGGTAACACTGATGGGGAATCGTGTGGTTCTAGTAATCCTACATCAAGAGGTTCTGTTATTACTGTCTTGTGACGTACAGACTCTGATATCGCTGCTTCTTGGCTCACAGAATAACGGGGCTTTGGTGTGTTTGTGAGTCTGTTTACATTTGTGTTTTCTAATTCTGAAGGTAAAGCGTCGAGGTTATTGGTGCTCGAAGCTTCACTTATATCACTATTTTTTCGAGTCCATAAAGAAGAATCAAAATGAAAGGAAATAAGTCCCACTCCAGGTGGTTCAGTGTTTCGTTGGTTATTCTTCGAAGACTTGTCTAAGTGTTCACTGCCCTGTGTAGAAATTTGCACCGCTGATGGAGTAGATAGCAGTTTGGTATTATTTGAGGTTAGCTGTGAAGGAACGAAGCTCTGAGAGGCGACCTGAGTCGTTGCTGGGTCTGTTGTTGATTTCTGGGAAGACGTTGAAACAGCTTCATGTTTTGTTGTGGTTGTGAAGTTTACGTCACGTCGTTCCAGCACATCTGCGACTGTATCAACATCCCTCACCATGAATCCTACAGTTGGAATAGATTTTACTGTGTGTGGAGGCGTTGAAGGAAAAACACCCTCGTCTCTCTTACTGTCGCCAGGGTCCAGGGAGGTAGTAGAACCCAGGGAGAGAGATATGAGAGAACTTGAGAGGAAAGTTCCATTTTCACTTAGGTCGGACCTCTGGGAGATATGCTCAACGGATCCCGATGGTCTTAAAGTAGTATGGTTATCGAACTGCTTCACATCCGGGCTCGGCCAACCATCTTTATCTTTGTCTACGCCGCCGCTATTTACAACGTACCCCGGATCTAGAACATCAGAAGTTGTTTTAGATATATTTTTTAATAATGCATTATTTATTGATAACGTAGAATCACTGGTAAAGTTCATCTCATCTCGAGAGGTTGGAGCATCATGGCGCACCCGGTGTAAGTTTTCCGAAACCTGTGAAGACAGAGCATCTGAGTTCTCTGGGTCACGAACTGTGATGCTGGTGGTGACGATGAGAGTCCACAGGAGGGAGGCTCTTTGTGGGTAGGTCAGCGTAGTGGTGACCGGCTCCTCCTCCTTAGGGAAGTTAAGGCCAGGGATAAAAGCTGTAAGAGTTACCTCAGGCTCCCCAGGAGTAACGTCACTGTAGTTGAGGGGCCCAGAGGGCGTCATACTAATGCCGACGCTGTTGACAGGAACATCGGTTACCCCCGTGCTCAGTGATTCCAGTAGCGACATAAATTTTTAGTCACTTGATCTAAGACTGATTTGTGTATGACGGAGATCTGTTTATTTCTCTAGGAATTTTAAAGATAATTGAGATACACTTGCCAGTATATAATTATGTGGTGCTAGATATATACAGTACGTGTGTTAAAAAATATATAACTTCATCCAAGTGTTTCCTGTTTACAGTATCCAGACACTCACTGATCACTGAGCACTTACTTTGGAAGAAAAAAATATCTGGTTATTAAATCACATCAAGATATTTTCTCTAACACACACACACACGTTAGCACCGGCCAGAGGCTGCTGAGTGTTCGGAGTTGAGGCCGAGACAAAGATTCACATTTGAAAACCAGCGTCAGCGTGAGGAGTTAAGCAGCTTTTGAAATCTTTCTCCACACTGATATGTAACACGGAGAGTGTTACGCCAGACTAACCTTCGCCCACTTGTCGAGTACATAGGAGTAAACTAACAATGACGTGACAACGCTGGAGGTGTGTAGAGCCTGGGTGGGTCGGGTCGTTTGGCTGGTCCAGGTCACCGGACGAGATGAGTCTTGGGTGATGGTGCCGAGTGTCTCACCTCCTTCATATTATGCTTCCTTTCCTGTAGACCACAAATAAATTACAACTTCTCTGGCTCTGAAACGCCCACCAGTGACTTGTTCATCATAGCTAAGAAAGTATATTATCTTTATTTAAGTCGTTAATACGTTTATAAAATGAAATATCAGAAAGAAGAATCTTGAAACTCAACTTGACGAGCCAGCGGGCGGAAATAAGAGAGGCAGGTGAAGTCCAAATCTGGCCCTGCCACTCTCACCACACAAATGACCTCCATCACCACTTCTTTCTTTATCCTCGTCGTAAATATATTGTCCATCCTCCTAAGACATCCTGAAGTAAAAATAATAATATGTACACAAGAGCATTATATATATAAAGGGCAGAAACTGCGTAAATTATATAACGAAGGATTTTTATGTCTATTTTCTGGCGAAGAAGGTGTGTGCTGGCAGCTCTTGGGTGTCTTCAACACGCGATGTTTAGTGTCCCCGATTCCTCTGACACACACACACACACACACTAGTTGACCTACTTTTCTTTACTATTTCCACAAATGTACTTATCAACTTCTTTGTGTTTACTGATCGCTGTACCAACATATTATCTTACCCAACATGAGTACAATTTGTAGCATGAAACTGAATTATCACTTTCTTACGCACATTTTTCGACCCCCATAAGTGCACTTTAATACTGCTTATTGTACTAGTAATTTTAATTAAGACAGTTTGTGGGATGAAAATCTCTCACCTTTTTACTTCCACATCAGTTATCACGTCTTTATATTTTTACACTACCCGCAGTAACCGGCAAATAAAGAGGAAATTTTTGAATAAAATATTACACAAGTTTTCCATTAATTAAATATATATTACACAAGGCTGCTGATAGTACAGTACTGTGCATAAAATATTTCTACTCACCAAACAACTGTAGGTGCGCGTGATCCATGAATATGCTGATAACCAAATAGGAAACAAGAAAACACGAAGTTCTCTCTAATAGAAAGCGTTTTCGTGTAATTCAAATCTTCAGGGGTGAGTACAGACTAAGGAGTAATTATTGACAAGGCTAATACCGTAAAGGAGAGTGGTCCCTAGGGACAGCAGGTGTCCACCATTACTCAAATTTATGTTGACAGATTCGGTATGTTTAATGAGACTAGATTCTATAATGTTCCTACTGACGGTTGAATTACAAGGTAAAATTGAGGAGGCATTATCCCAGTCAATGCAATGCTTATTATCCCTCATATGAATGAACAAAGCATTGGACTCCTGGCCTGTCCTAACACTATATTTATGCTGTTAAAGTCTAGTTATAAGATCTTTTCCCGTCTGGCCTAAGTAGAACATATTACATTCCTTGTAAGGAGTCTTGTAAATGCAGCCACCTGCATTGTTGGGGGATTTCTTAATTAACATTTGTTTTACAGTGCATGAATTACTAAATGTTACATTTACGTTCCAGGTTTTCAATTGTAGAGGAATTTGAGAGATTTTTTTGTTAAATGGTAATACTAAGAGATTCTTACTGTCAGGGGAGGTTTAGGATCAGTTCTATATAAAAAAAATCTTAATGATGTTAAGACATTTGTCTATAAAAGAACACGGGAATTTTAGTTTCAATCCAATATTATAGATATATTTATATTCCTCATCAATGAATTCCGGACTGCATATTCGTACAGCTCGTAAAATCATTGATGAGAATACTGACGGACTCTACTATGGTGGGCAGAATAATAATGAATATATGAACACACCTTAGTAGGTTTCCTATAAATAAATAACTTAAAGGTATTAACTACTCTGTGGATCAGACATTTTTCGTGTTTTCTTGTTTCCTATGTGGTTATCAGCATATATATATATATATATATATATATATATATATATATATATATATATATATATATATATATATATATATATATATATATATATATATATATATATATATATATATATATATATATATATATATATATATATATATATATATATATATATATATATATATATATATATATATATATATATATATATATATATATATATATATATATATATATATATATATATATATATATGTGTGTGTGTGTGTGTGTGTGTGTGTGAGCGCGTGTGTGTGAGCGCTGAGCCTATCGTGTAAACGGGTCATTAAGGACAGCTCTCGTGTCATGGGGTCATCAACATTTTCATTTAGAATAAGATATTTTTCGCCACATTCTATTTACAGCAGATCACAATAGCTGGTGCAGTTTTCTTGATAAAATTCATGAGTGATGAGTGTGTTGATGACTAACACCGGTTAACAGTAGATAAACTAGGTACTAGGATACTGAAATAGGTACTTCGGTGACACATTACGTAACATATCACGTATGTCTAAACACACACTATACCTGTTAGACTTTCTACCATTAAATTATTTTTGAATTAGTAATTTACACAGAGAGAGGAAAACAAATGAAAGGCTGAAATGTTGAACCACTTCTGCACAGTAGGTGTGAAAGTAATTTAGACGGCATTGAGCAGGGCACGCTGCTAGTAAAATAAACAAACAGAACCACCGGATACTTCAAGATCTAAATGACAAAAGACAAATTTGAATGTGCTCAATAGGCAGTAGAGGTTTAAGACGATTGTGAAAACAAGGGGAGGAAGTTTATTAACAATCCTTATATGGTAAACGAGTCCACATGTTTATCTTATCTCAAATTTGCGCGGTTGTCGCTGTCAAGTAAACAACTTCAAAGAAATTGCTCTGGTGAAAGAAGGGAATTTTCATCACATCATCATGAAGATTATTCCACACATTAAGTATATGTAACATTGTTATCTTATTGCTGGTGTTTCTGAGGGTATAATTTAGATTGCTCTAACACTACTATAGTCGCTCGCCCTACCTGTCACTTTTGATCAACATGGTGACGGAGGGTACTCACTTGTGTCAGTGTTACTCTTATTTCTCTGCTCCTACTCGCTCCACCGCCTCTACGCAGGTATGGTTTAATTTTAACAATTGTTTTAACATTCTCCTCATTGAATGCTGCTGTTGAAGTTAAATATTAACGCATAAAATGCCGGAAATGTCGAGTAATTTTCTTCTATCAAGGAAGATGCCAGGGCCACCAGTGGCTTAATTCAAACGTTTCCTGTCAGTTTGGTTTAAAGTTGTTAGCGATATCTTTTTAGTCGTTTGTTTAGCCGTATATATAATGAATTCTTCATATTTTTGGAAATTAAGAGTTTAGATAATTGTCTCAAAAATTCCTGTTTAACATTGTGACAAAGCTTTTATTTTTTTTTACGGAGTTGTGGTCACGGCTGTGATGAAGGCCAACCGGGGAGTGTAGTACTGTGCCTTTAGTTAAATCAGTTCTAAGTATCATCAGTGACAGCGGAAGAGGTTGTAAATAATTTAAAGTGAATACAAATTGTCAAGCAAGCTGGTAAGGCACCACTGCCAGCAGAAACCAAGTCGTGTTATAGGTGCCACAGAGACTTTAATAAAAGGGTGGTTATTCGGCAGGCAAAAAACTGAGCAAGGAGCGAGGCATCTCGGAGTGTATTCATTCACCCAGATCGCACGGTAATGCAGAGGGAAACAGCACAAGAAGCTCCTGCAGGGCTTGAAGCAGAGAAGGGGAGAGTCGAGGAGGAACAGGGACGGGTGTACATGGGTTATATTCAGGGAGAAGGTAGTGGAAGCAAGTGTGCCGACACAGGGCCAGGGGGCAGCAGCGCACCTTCCACCCGCCACCCGGGAGGTGGCACCAGCTCCGCCTACCAGCCGGGAGGAGGCGAGCGCCGTGTGAACAATAACATTTCTAACCACACCCTGCAAAATACAATGTACTTAGCAAATGCTGCAGCTTCTGAGAATGGGAGAGGGGGGGTTACTACTAAGAGCAGAGACGTTACCGAGAACAAATTCGGCGTGAATGGCATGTACACTAATACTGACACATTCCTTGATAAGAGAGAGGGGTTTGAAACACTACTGAAGGTACATCAACCCGATATTGTAGGAGTTGAAGAACGGTTGTACAAGAACAGGAGAATCGACCCAGAGGAATGCGAGTTTAGAATTGCTGGATATGACTCATTTACGAACCTTTCTCAAGAAACTTGCAAGAGGGGTGTGGTTATCTATGCTTGGCAAGACCTTAGAGCCAGCCAGGCGAGGGTACAGGGAGAGAATGTTTTTGAAGAGTCCAAGTGGTGTAAAATTAAATTAAAGGGCGGCGACTTACTTATCGTCGGGTGTATCTACAGATCCCCAAACTGTGGCCCACTAAATCAAAGAACTTAAAGAGCCTCAATAGACAATGCGGCGCTGCTCAACCCCAGCCACCTCCTTATCATGGGGGACTTTAACTAAGCGACATCGACTGGAGAAACGAGTTCACCCCAAATGACTTGAATAAACCTGCTACTCTTTTTGTGGAAACTCCGAGAGATAATTTTCTGTTCCAACTTGTTAGAGACCCGACACATTAGAGAGAGGAGCAAACACCCAAGCCACTAGACCTCATCATAACAAACGAGGAGGGTATGGTGGCCAAACTGTAACACCTTGCCCCAGTTGGCACCAGTCACCATATAGTGTTGTCATTCAGATTTAACTGTTACCCAGTTCAAGATAAGGCCAGGCCAAGGTCCATCATTCTCCCACACTCCCATCATCCTCCCACATTCACCCATCATTCTCACGCTCCCCCATCATCCTCCCATACTCCCCCATCATTCTCCCACATTCAGCCCACACTCCTCCATCATTCTCCCACACTCCCATCATTCTCCCACACTCCCCCATCATTCTCCCACACTCCCCCATCATTCTCCCACACTCCCCCATCATTCTCCCACACTCCCCCATCAATCTCACACTTCCCCCACACTCCCCCATCATTCTCCCCATTCTCACACTCTCCCATCATCCTCCCACACAATCCATCATTCTCCCACACTCCCTCATCATTCTTCCACATTCACCCATTATCCTCCCCATCTCCCACACTCCCCCATCATTCTCACTCCTCCATCATTCTCCCACACTCCTCCATCATTTTCCCACACCCATCATTCTCCCACACTCCTCCATCATTCTCCCACACTCCCATCATTCTCCCTCACTCCCCATCATTCTCCCACACACCCCATCATTCTCCACACTCTCCATCATTCTCCCACATCATTCTCCCACACTTCCCCATCATTCTCCCACACTCCCCACACCCCCATCATTCTTCCACATTCACCCATTATCCTCCCACACCCCCCGTCATCCTCCCACACACCCCATCATTCTCTCACACTCCCCCATCATCCTACCTTTTCAACCAATCACACATTACCGATGCTCATGTTGTGTGGGCTCATTAAGCCATGCTTCCTGCATTTTAGAATATGTTCGGTTTCATTGTGAAGTATCCAGTTTCTATTACCTTGTCTGCTTGTCCACGTCCTTGTGTAGTATATTGACCTTCCACCTTGGCAGATGTCCCTCTCTGTCAATGTATAGTTAGTGAAGGTGTTGGTCATTGTGATGTTTAACATCAGCCATGAGTTCCTTACTCCTGGTCGCCAGTCCCCTGCTGTTCTTCCCGTAGTAGGAGTTTTTCACACAAGCCACACAGTATCCTGTATATATGCGGTTTTTCCTCATCCTTCTGTCTTTCTTTTTCTTAACTATGTGCATCATCTTCATTCCTGAGGTCACGATTAGGTTTGTGGTAGATTCCTTTAGGAACCTGGTGATGCACCTTACTCTGTTGAAGTGGGGAACAGTTGTGTACCTGTTACCTGTGGTTGTCATATGTCCTTATCATGTCCTCTCTACTCTCAGTTATCTACCTGATATTCTCCAGACTCAGCAAGGGTCCCGAGGGGTAGCCCAGCTTCCCCAAATTTGAGATGATGTAGGATAGCTCGTCCTCCAAGTACTCCATGCTGCATATTCTGAAGACTTAAAAAAGAAAACCTAGGACTATTCCAGTCTCGGTCCTCTCCCTGTGTGCCAACAGGTAGTGCATGAAGTCATCCTCATTGATAGGCTTCCTGTATAGCTGCCATGTACCTGGTATACTTCAATGATTTGATGATGATGTCCAGAAAGGATAGCTGTCCTTCCACCTCTTCCTCTATTGTGAACTGTATCTTTGGGTGGACCTCATTCAGTCTGCTCAAGAGGTTTGACAGGTCAAACCTACCTAGCCATGTCGTCCGTTCCCCTACTATTTGTCTGGTGCTTTTCCTCCAAGGTGTTCATGAAGAGACAGGCCATCAAGGACGACCCCCATAGCCAAACCATTGTGCTGGAGGTACTCTCTCTCATAATGTGAAGGGGTCCATATGGCAGCAGCATGGGTGATATGATTAGTCCAATAGGTTAGAGGACCATTGGGGAACAAGATTGGGCACAGGATCCTCCTTATAATTGCATGGTGCACTCTTTGTGTTCATTCTTTTGAAAAAGTCCATTGTGATGAAACGTCAGGAGTAAAGTTGTTTCTCTGATCCTGTGTTTCCTCTGTTAGTATACAGTATAAATTATAATGCGGGGAATCATAATATCGAAAGTACTGTATAATGTCAAGCTTTTATATGAGCCTAAAATTTTATTTTGCAATTATTCACCAGTTCAGTATCTATATTTGTTATTAATTAGTATACAGGAAGTGGGCAAAGGATCAAATGAAAAACAGATTGTGGTATACCATTGTATTAAAGTAATTGTAATTGAATTACTTCAGACAATGGACATGAATCTTATAATTCCTCACCCTAATGTAGAATTATGTAAATGGTGATTTCCTTAAAATAAAGGAACACAGACTTACACACTAGAGACAGCCTAAGAATCAGTCTGGAGCCTGACATGCCTCATAGTAATTACATAAATGAGTGATTAAGCAAATGATGAATGGGTTGTTTCCAAGTACTGTAACTCCAACACATGGGTATTAATAAACTCCCAGTTTATCTAATCACACCAACACATACCAGGCAAGAAACTATGATCCTAAGCTAAATTGATGAATATAAGCATTACATAAAATGAACAACAAGAATAAGCACAATGTACAACCTATGAATAAAATTGTCTGATTTCAGTTAACGACACTATTAGATGTCTCTTTGGATTGTCATAAAGAAATTTATATTAACCTCATCTTAACTAAATTAAATATGTTACATCTTCAAGTTATACAAAAATATCTCAATTACCTAAGACCTTGGTAACCTATTTTTAGTATCAGGCCAGTTTCTAAGGCCTATTCATTACAATCTTACCCAACAGACAGATTTGGTGACTGGAAGGTGACAAAGTTTCAAGCTTGTTAGGGCAAAAGGACTTGATAAGTGAGGTACCAATGTATAGGTATATAACGGAGGCACCAGCAGCGACAGTGAGGCACTATGTGGCAATATGCTATAATTCTGATGATTGTTCAGAGGGTAAGACTTAATAATGGTCATCACAAAATATCTTTAGAATAAGACACTGTGATAATATAACAGCACAACTTTACTTTTGCTTCTCGATTAACAATACTGTAGTCAAGGACTGTGGAGAAGTACTGTAAAACTTTCTCAAGAATGTAGTGTGTGTGCACATACCCTGAATGTGTTAAAAAAGAGAATCTATTGACAAACTATGCAAGTCAATTTTTTTACTCACCAAATCAGCTGTTCACTACAACTACACACATTCTGATGTGTACATAGTATTTACTTCATTCCAATCAGCAACTTACCATCTGAACAGGTCATAGATTTTCCCAGCCTCCCAAATAAGCAACTACAACTTTTGCATTTTCTGATTAAATTTCAATGAACCAAATGAGCATGGTTGTGACCAGCAGCTTGTTGCCAGTGAAGTTAAGTGCAACAAACTGTAAAAATAATGTTGCATTGCAAGTTTAGCACTGAACAGTAAAACTATTAGTGGATGTGATAGCATCATGGATGTAAGGTCTAAAGAGCCTCCCTTTCC